AAACTGAGATATTCTTTGAAGATTTATAACTGATGAAACCGTATTATCAAAATCGCTAGTACGACATAAAAAATATATAACGTTTTTACCATCCTACATATAGCTAAACTTTTAGTAAAAGAAAACTGATGGTAGGTACAATTGAAGCAATATAACAGCTATAAATACTGGCAGAACGAAAAATCAAAGACTTCAATACTCAAATAATATTTACAATTTTGGAAGATAAGAAAGAAGATTCTAATTTTCACTTACATACACATATGTTGAAAAAATTACACTAATACGGGAGTTAATTCTATTGGTATTAGCGTCGGGACTGGTGTAGATGCCATTCATAAAATAGTCAGAAATTATTTGGTAAAATATGAATTTTAGAGAGAATTCATCAAGAATTTACATTATTTTGGATGTATTCAGGATAAATCCATTGTTGTTACATAAAGAAATTACGAGAAGACAATGTACAAGGCAGGAACTTTCTATTCCAATTAACTTGTCGTATAGTTCCAACAAGAATTCAGAAAAAAATCAGCTAAGTACAAGTACAAAACAGATTCCCTAAAGAAACTATTCCAGATAATGCTTTAGAAAAATGATAGAGAAAACAAAATCAGCCAAAAACGTAAAAAATGCGTGTGCAGAAAATACACTCTAAGAAAAATAATCGTGAAAAATTGGATAAAACAGTATAAAATGTAGAATTCGCATTATAAAATAAAAGAAATATATTGTATTTGTATTTATAAACTCTTAAACTAGCATTAACTCTTCATTCAATACTGAAAAATACCGATTTTGCATGACCGGTCATTTGACCGGTCGCGGTAGGAATAGCAAACATAAAATGTCGGTAGGAATAGTGTTAAATAACTTTGAAAATAATTATTAGTTATTCATGCATCATTTTCACATATAACAATGAAAATATTTTTATGATAGTGAAAGGACAGTGAAAGTTTTCGAATAAACAAAAATAATACATTTTTAAATAAAAAGCATTTATTAAATTAAAAAAAATTAAAAAATATTACGTAGATGTTGATACATACTTGTTAATACCAATTTTAGTTTTAAAAACAATTAAGCTAAACCCCGAGTATTTTCCATTCCGAGCAATTTTAATTAATTAATTTTAAAAATTCTAATTTTTTTTTTGTTTAATAAAATATGATTTCAAAAATCTCAGAACGTCTATCGATTTGTTACTTATAAAGGCCCTTTGTTTACCGACAAAATTTCCCGAAATAGAAAATACTCTCTCACTTGCGACGGAACTAGGCTTAATTGTTTTTATAAGCCTTATATAATAATTCTGAGTTTTTTAACTTCCCGTAGGGCGTTACGTTTCAAAGGTTTCTGAACATTTTGGCATACCTTAAAGAAAAAAAAAAGATGTATGTGTGTGCGTGTGTGTGTGTGCGGATTCAAATTCAAAAAACATTTTACTTGTATTGACAATCGAACAATTGAAGAACCTATCAAATTTTCATAAAGGCAGGTCTAGCGGTTTCGGAGATCTAATGAACTCTGATGACATATGCACATCAAATTATCAGATATTTTATAGAGATTTTAACAATAAGTATAAATTTTATTTGCATTTCTATGGGTTCCGTACCAATGTTTATTCGTTAGACGGCGACGCGGTGCTTACGCGCTTTTACATTTTGTCTCTATGCAGTTAAAGCAGTACGATTGCTTTGAAAAAAAGTTCAGAATTTCCAAAATATGTTAAAATAAGGAAAACATTTTTTTTTTCAAAAAAAAATTTTTTTTCAAAAAAAGAATTTTTTTGTCTAATTCCTAGTTTCTCAAAAATCTAATTTTTTTTAAGTAAAATTTTTTCAAAAATATCAATCGTTTATAAAAAAATAATATTTGGTACGGGATGATTCCAGCAATTTGCCTTAAGGCACGATGCCCTAATTGCCTTAAGACAGAATTCCACTTACAGCTAATTGTTCTTTTATTTGTGGCTTCTAGGACTGAAAACTCTTTTTTTTAAGTTTGAGTAGAGAAAGTTACTTCTACAAGAAGTCACACTGATTTAAATTAATATATACACTGGTTTAAAAATCTAAATTAATACGAGGTCTGTTCAAAAAGTACCCGGAATTTTCGTTTTTTCAAAAAAATATTTATTTATTCGTCTACATTAATGTGGTCCCCTTCAAAGTAGTCCCCCCCAGATATAATACACTTATGCCAGCGTTTTTTCCAATTTTCGAAGCACCCTTGATATTCACTTTTTGATATGTCCTTGAGCACTCTCAGCGATTCGGCCTTTATTTCTTCAATCGAGGAAAACCGCCGTCCTTCCATGGGTCTCTTCAACTTTGGGAATAGGAAAAAGTCACACGGAGCCATATCTGGTGAATATGGAGGTTGGGGCATGACTACGGTATTGTTTTTGGCCAAAAAATTACGAACAAGCAACGACGAGTGAGCAGGTGCGTTATCGTGGTGCAACAGCCATGAATTGTTTTTCCATAAATCGGAGCGTTTTTTTCGGATTGCTTCACGCAAACGTCGCATCACTTCAAGGTAATACTCCTTATTAACCGTACGACCTTGTGGTAAGAACTCTTGATGCACTATGCCGTTATAATCAAAGAAAACAGTAAGCAAAACCTTGACATTCGATCGAACTTGACGTGCTTTTTTCGGTCTTGGCTCACCTGGGCTCTTCCATTGGGACGATTGGGCTTTGGTTTCGACATCATAACCGTACACCCATGTTTCATCACCAGTTATGACCCTTTCAAGCAAACTTGGATCGTTGTTGACGTCATTTAACAGCTCTTGAGCGATGTTCATGCGATTGCTTTTTTGGTCAAAATTTAGCAGTTTTGGAATGAATTTTGCTGCCACTCGTTTCATGCCCAAAACATTTGAAAAAATGTTATGACATGAGCCAATTGATATGCCAACTTCATCAGCAACTTCTCTAATTGTGATTCGGCGATCATTCATAACCATTTTTTCCACTTCTTTCACATTTTCATCGTTTGTTGACGTGCTGGGTCGACCGGAGCGTTCGTCATCTTCAACGTCTTCGCGGCCATCTTGGAAACGCTTATACCACTCGTAAACACTTGTTTTTTTCATAGCAGACTCACCATAGGCTTTTTGTAACATTTCACACACTTTGTTACACTTTATTTCATTTTTTACGCAAAATTTAATACAAATTCTTTGACTTTTCAATTCTTCCATTGTAAAAATCGCCGAGCTCAGAAAAACACGTCGAACCTTAGCGACTACCACAGACAAAGTAAACAGTGAATATAGCTGAAAATTTCATCATGCTTTAGGGGCATGTATACCAACACAATAAAAAAAAAATTTTGACAATCAGACATTCCAGACCCGCGAAATTTAAAAATTCCGGGTACTTTTTGAACACACCTCGTATATACATTAGATAAAAGATAACACAAAACCATTCTGGCAACCATAGCAGACTGATAACATTCCAAATGCTATTGAACCGATATGATTCCAAGAATCAAAACGCTTGCATCTATATATCTTTTATATTTGGCTATATTTGTCACTTTGCATTTATACATTGAAAACCCACTTTTTCTACTAAAAAACGGTTTTCGAATTCCATAATTTTCGTCAAAAAATCGGTTTTTAAAAACCGACAAACCCTATTATTTAAGATCTTCCGTACGTATTTTATGGTTGGCTTCCTAGACAATATTAGAATTCGTAGATAAAGAAAAGTATTATTTGCTTTATGTATTGTTTAGTTTATACATTTTTAAATTAATATATATTTTAGGTTATTTAATTAATTTTAATAATAGGATATGTTTGTGATATTAGCAATCAAACACTTTGAAGTCGACATGAAAAATTATTGCAAAATAGCATAACAGTACTACTTAATAATTTCCGTAATATTATAATAATGCAATTTGAAGCGTTTTGTTCGCTATAATACTATACAATATAAAATAATTACATATCAAAGATAACAGAAATAGAGGTTAAATGCATCTGTTTGACAATTGCAACACATATTTTATTAATGCCTAGAATTTCACTATTCTGTTATGATTCTGTTAGTATCATTGCTTTGTATATCACATAATTTTTTGACGTTGGTGCGCCATTGTGCAAAACGTGCAGGTTAATGGCTAATTTTTGACAGCTCAATAACTGCTCCAAGCGTCGTGAGTTTGCCCGACAAAAAAAAATAAAAAGAAAAGAATTTAGCACAGATAAAAGAAATATTTAGCATAGATTCGTTTCTATTAACGTATTGTGTAGGGCTCCAAACAACAAATTCGATTGTAATAAAAAAACGAAAAGCTTTAAAAAAAATATTTATTATCGACGAAGTATGATTTTGATTCAACATAAACCAACCAAAATAATATACTTAAGAAAAATAAAAGTTAATTGATACTATTAAAATTAATAAAATTATGAAAGAAAGGAAATCATACAAAATATAACAAAAGCAATAAATAAATGGATAATACAACAAAAAATTTAAATGATAGCTAGAATAAAAAAAAAAGAAAAATGATAGATTATACACTAACACTTTATATGTCATTATAACATTTTTTTTTTTGATAAAAATGTGTGCTAACAAATTAATATTTAAATGTTTATGCTTTCTTTGTGAATGTATGTGCTTCGCAATTCATGTTAATATAGTGATGAATTAATTAGAAAGAAATACACTTGCGTATTCTAATTTTCAAAGAAAACTGTAAAGTGACAAATACACGTTATCACAACAATTCAGATTAAATTTACATATATAATTACTCAAACTTTATCAACCTAAAATTTTGATTATAAATCAATTTTTATTTTTAAAAAATATTTATTATACAACAAGAATTACAATTATATAAATGTTTCTGCTATGGAGAATATCAGTTTATCATATTTATAATTATAAAATATTTAATAATAATGAACTATTTAACAAATGAACCATTTTAGTATTGTAAAAATATGAAACTCTCTTCTAAACCTTACGAATAAATGCTTTTCAATGAACAAGCCGAATTGAAATGCACATTTGTGGAATATAAATAGTACATAAATATATAATTTAAAAAAATAATTTGTTTCCTTCACTTCAAATGGCGCATGAACCTAAATTATGCCACTAAAATTATGGTGCCATTGTGCAAGATACTCATATGTATCTGATCCTGAAATGTTTCACAACGATCTAGACGATGTGTCTCATGTATATAATTTCAAACTATATCTAAATCGTTTCAATAAAATCTACTCTAGTGGAGAAAAAAACCACACAATTAAAAGAATTAATATTTGTTTGGTCCGCAAAATAAGTAGGCTTTTTATCATAGAAACAATATGATATTTCAAATTAATCTAAATATTAATCAAGACAGTGTTCATTGAAAAAATGCTACCACATTTCATAATATATAGTTAAATTAAACAAGTAAATTATCTTAAGAAAAACTAGATTCAAAAATTAACAGCGCGATTAAAATTACGAAAATGGTTGTTACAACGAAATAGAAGTTTCAAAGTCAATTACTTATCTGAAGAATCAGCATGGGTGGTGCCTCGTACCTTACCTTTTTCTAATATGTGATATTTCAGTTAAAAATAAAAGTGATTATTGTAACACATAAAATCGGTAGAGAAGTGTCGCTAAAATGCCCAGAACAATAGGGAGAATCCATGTTTTCAGTGAGCTGAAAATAAAAATTATTTTTTACTCGGTATAGGATTTAAGACTATCAACTAATTATTGAAGTTGTTTCAAGATTCTCGCATAAGCCATGGTGAATATAATCTTGATGTAGCTTCACAATATAATTTATTGAGAGTTTCTAGCCGAATGCAAAAATAATTTAAGCGTACTAGAAAAACAAACTGTTGACATTTCAATTGCAAAAAACTAAAATCACAATCATAGAATATAATTTTTTGCCAAAAAAATCAAATAGTCCAAAAGATATTATGCATATTTTTATATTTGGCAGCTAGAAAAGTTTAAGTTCGCATTTAAGAATAGCATTTTAATAAATATTGTGTTCATTGAATAACATGAATGGTTCTAAATATTAATGCATTTCAAAAATATTAATAATAATACAATATAAAATATTTAAGAATAAAATTACTTATATTTTTAGGGTAATATTAATAACTATAATATAAAATACGAAGAAATCAAAACTTTTATTACTGACTTTCGAATTAAAATCAAATTCTTAACCTGGTAACATAGATGTCCAACAAATAACGTTTGAAATAGATAAAGTTAACGAGATACCAGTTTGAAAAACCTTGTAGATGATCTTGCAAATTTTATACGCTCCGACAACAGATAAAAACGCATGTACATACCTCGTAGGTAGGAAGAAATTTTGCGCGGTAATTTGTTGAAAATCAAAAAATAATATTTTGTTGCTGATCATTTAGGGACAAGCAGTGAATTCAGGTATAGCAAAAAGCATAAATTTTGAATAGTCTGGAATAAAGTTAATTTATATTATTGAAAATCTTTACTAAAATTTACTAAAAATATTTACTATTGTCGACAACTTTGCTATTGAAATAACGAAATATATAAATAAATAAATAATTATGAAAAAACTAACATTTTATAATTTTGGGACACTCTCCAACTATATGCCATAATACAAATATATATATATATATATATATATTTAAACAAATTATATTCAGCATGGCAAGTATTTCGTGAAACATAAATCGACTCTCACGTATTCTTCGATGAAAATTCACATACATTGACATATAATCTACAGATGAATGACAGCAATAAGAATCTTTCGAAATAAACAAGAAAAAACCAGTTAACAAGAAATGAACACAATTTCAATATAAGTTAATAATTACTAATGATAAAATTAACATGCAGTACAATTCTATATATCTCACACTTCAATACGAAATAAGAATTAGACAAAGACAAATAAAAATAGCTTTTAACGGTAATTTTATTAACAATACGATCAAATAATATTCACTTAATGATAAAAAAGATAAACCTAAACTTGCATTTAAAACATTCTTTGTTACATTTTGTAAGGCACATATTTCCATAGAAATTGTCAAAATTGCCCTATAATATATGTATATAGACATAAAAACATTAATATAAAAAACCTAACATTGCTAATGAGAAATTAATGTATAAAAACTAATTGCATCATATAAAAGTAAATAGATGAAAAGTAAAACATTGAACCCAATATTTTCCTCTTATTTTAGATAAAATAAAAATTCTAATGTAAGGCAGTTGAAACTGTACTTAGCGTTTTTGATTCGATTATCATTATTTAAAATAAAAATTTAGTGTAACCTGCCACGGAAAAAATGGATAAATTTTCAGCGTTATTCAAAAATGCCGTCAGAGTAATTGATTTTATTTTGCCAACAAAATGTTTGTGATTGCATTTCTAATTAGAAGAACTAAAAAAATATTCATAAAATTATTAATTTGAAACACATTCTAATATTTTTGCAACCCATCATTTTATCAGAAAACACGAAATGACAAACAATTACAATTATATCGAACGTCAATTATACAATAAAATGTAATATCAGTTTTCAATGATTTTTTTTTATTAAAGATAAGTACATGCATATAGAAATAAGTTTTAATGATAAAATTCAAAAATTATTTACGCATATTAAACTAATAAAAAGGTATAAAAAAGTAACCGGCGGAACACAACCATAATTTAAGCACAAGTTAAAATAAATTCGTTCAAAATATTTGTCATATATCTTATATCAAAATATAAATTAAATAAAAAGTAAAAATCTAAGACTAAATAAAAAGTTCAATACGTGTATGTATTGAAGATTCATAACATTTTGATAAAAAAAATATATGAATGGAACTCATTTTCAACTAGGTTAGTACCAATGAAAATTTGGTTATCAAGATATATTAATAATACGAAAAAAATCCATACGCACACAAATATTTATTAAATCAAATAAATGATTTCTGAAAATTGCTCATGACATGCCCATACTTTTTGATTGGTTTAGTAAATCATAAAAATCAAATTTACAACGTGATGATGGGACTATTTTACTTTATCATATGTTGAGTGTTTGTCTAAAAAAAAATAGTAATTTTTTCTAGTGAAAACATTTTCCAAGATCAATCTAATTATAAATGTAACTGAAAACGAAATGCTCACAACAAATCTATGCTTAATACGAAAAGTGCTGAAGTCAAAAAACTATGTGAAAATTCTTGAATTTTAAAAAATATCCCATTTTCACCTTTATTATCAATCTACAAAACCGATTCCGAGATTTTTACTTGTTTTTCTTTAAGAGCAAACGCACTTTTCTTTGTCCTCGCCAGCTTGTTGGTTGCTCCAGTCTGGAAGTGCCTTTTCTTGGGTCTTTTTGCGCTCGTGTTCGACAATTTCTCCTATTTTGTATTTCCTCATAAGTTCACGGGCATCCGAGCTGTGACCTACATCCTCGAAAGCCTCGGTACCATCCTTACCAGCCTGCTCCAGCAGAACTTCTTCACCTCCAGGATGCTACAAAATAACATATATAATAAGGTAATTCTAGAAAAAGTTAATTATAGAAATTATAATTTCAACAAGTTAAAACATTTTTTAACTTCCCTTAGGGTAAGTTATTGTAATGGGCCAAAAATCGAAATTGAAAATTTTCACATTTCTCGACGTTTTGAAGGTTTCTGAACATTTTGGCATACCTCAGAAAAAATAGATGTGTGTGTGTATGTATAATGGATACAAATTTCCAGTCACGTTTTCGGGCGCACGGATCAACCGATTTGAATGGTTCAAAAAACATTTGATTCCTATTGATAGGGAGATGTGCTGATTAGTTTTTGGCAAAGGTCTAGCCATTACGGAGATACGGAGCAAAGAGTGCAGAAAATAGAAATCGAGTTTTTGAGTGAACGGAGCATCCGATTTGAATGATCTAAAAAAACATTCAATTAGTAATGATTGGGAGAAGTGATTATTAGTTTTGACAATGGCAGGCCCAGCCATTTCGAAGATATAGAGCTAAATGTGCAAAAAATGGCAGTTTTTTGAGAGAACTAAGCGTTCAATTTAAATGATTCAAAGAACTTTCAGCTTGTTTTAACAAAATAATTGATCTTGAAAAAAAAATTGTATCATTTTTTTTTTTACTTTTTTTTTGTAGATCGAAAATAATTCAGATTTTATTTTTAATTCTGACTAAAGTTCTAATATACTTTAAATAAATAATTTTAACTTTGCAATTCAGTTTATATAATTCTTATAAATATTAGACAATGTTACAATATTTATAATAATCTATTTGAAAACATTCAGTATTCCTCGAACAGTTTGTTACGGTACGGGAAGTTCCAGCAATTTGCCTTAAGGCACGATGTTATATACCCCACTAGTTTTTTAGTATTTTTTTGTATCAAAAATAATTCAGATTTTATTTTTAATTCTGACTAAATTTCGAATATACTTTAAACAAATAATTTTAACTTTACAATTCAGTTTATATAATTCTTATAAATATTAGACAATGTTACAATATTTATAATAATCTATTTGAAAACATTCAGTATTCCTCGAACATTTCGTTACGATACGGGAAATTCCAGCAATTTGCCTTAAGGCACGATGTCATACACCCCACTAGTTTTTTAGTATTTTTTTGTATCGAAAATAATTCAGATTTTATTTGACTAAAGTTCTAATATACTTTAAACAAATAATTTTAACTTTGCAATTCAGTTTATATAATTCTTATAAATATTAGACAATGTTACAATATTTATAATAATCTATTTGAAAACATTCAGTATTCCTCGAACATTTCGTTACGGTACGGGAAGTTCCAGCAATTTGCCTTAAGGCATGATGCCATACACCCCACTAGTTGTATTATTCAAAAATATGTACTAAAAAAGAAAAATATTCAATAGTTAAGGATAATTATTTATTTTTACTTGTTTGCTTAAAAACATTCATCATATAAATTTTCTGATTTTGCTCTCCTCCGGCCAAATTAATAAATATTAGTATTACAAAACGTGTATTACTAAATAAATCTGAACATAATATTACATAGAATATGAGATGTTTATTCTTGAATTCAGTTTTACACCTCGTGGTGTATAAATGCAAATATATTAATCAAGTGTAAATGCAAATGTAGATAAATGCTCTATCAATGACAAATATAAATTTGGAAATATACATCAAAATCCAATTGTTTAAAAACCTCCAAGTTTATTTTTGTATATGATATGAATAACTTTCTTTGTATTTTTAAGCATTCGCACATAAGTGTTGTGTGTTTAGTATGTTAATCATTTTATAAGTATGTTAAAAGACCTCATGTATATTTTTTTACTCTTATATAATTAAATGTATTAAAAACTCTATTTGTTGCTATATTAGCTAATTTATAACATCATACCACCGTAAGACTTTATATAAATTTTATAATAACAAACAAATTATTGTAAACGTTTTTTTATTTCACAATATAAATTGCAGCTATGCTTAATAGACACCTAGCAAATATAAAAAATAGTACTATTATATATTTATTTCAAATCTATCCTTACAGATGGTGCGTGCGAGTAAATATTGATCTTTACCGTGTTGCTTTTATCTACAACAAAAATAATTGGTTAGAAGTAATAGAAAGCAAATAAGTAGGAGAAACAAAAGTTTATAAAACATTATTATATTTACGGTTAGTTGTCACGAAAATCTATTAACTAAATACAATATCATTTTAACCAAACGTCAAGTTTACTTAGAAATAATAGAATTCCTAGCACAAAACGTGCCTTCGCGGTTTGCATAAAAATAAACTTGTAATTATTGTTCTATTATATTTTCGGCATCTGACAAAGATATATTAATATTACTTGCATTGCCATTGTGCTAGCTTTGTTTCAGTTTAATAGTAATATATTCACAACGTATCAAAGGTCAAACGATTTCCTACCAGAGGCGATCAATTTTTAATTGTATTGTAACTGAACAGATATTAAATGATAGAATAAGAAAACGCATAAAATGATCGATAATTAAATGACAAATAGTTTGCAAAATATGTCGGATCAAAAAATATGAGGTATTATAATGAAAAAAAGAGCAGCTGGCATACAATAGCTCCGGAGCGATGAAAAAAACGGTTCCAGATGATCATACATATAGATATATATATATATATATATATATATATATATATATATATATATATATATATATATATATATACGAGGTCTGTTCAAAAAGTACCCGGAATTTTCGTTTTTTCAAAAAAATATTTATTTATTCGTCTACATTAATGTGGTCCCCTTCAAAGTAGTCCCCCCCAGTTATAATACACTTATGCCAGCGTTTTTTCCAATTTTCGAAGCACCCTTGATATTCACTTTTTGATATGTCCTTGAGCACTCTCAGCGATTTTCTTCAATCGAGGAAAACCGCCGTCCTTTCATGGGTCTCTTCAACTTTGGGAATAGGAAAAAGTCACACGGAGCCATATCTGGTGAATTTTTGCACTTTGCAACACTTTATTTCATTTTTTACGCAAAATTTAATACAAATTCTTTGACTTTTCAATTCTTCCATTGTAGAAATCGCCGAGCTCAGAAAAACACGTCGAACCTTAGCGACTACCACAGACAAAGTAAACAGTGAATATAGCTGAAAATTTCATCATACTTTAGGGGCATGTATACCAACACAATAAAAAAACAATTTTGACAATCAGACACTCCAGATCCGCGAAATTTAATTATTAGTAATTCCGGGTACTTTTTGAACACACCTCGTATATATATATATATCTATAACTTCGTCAAAAAAATAGATATTGAGATGATTTTTTTAAATAATTCTAAGGTTTTTAGCTTTCATAATATGAAAAAATCTCAAAATCGAAAAAAATAAATAAAAACCGAACAACCCCCTAAAACATGGATAGGCTAACCATTGGGTTACCATCTAAAACATCGACGTGAGAAGAAGTTCGAGCACAACTAATCATAGAACGGAAATTCGGATTGCTGTTAAATGTGTTAAATAAAAATACAGATTTTAAGAATTTCTAATAAAATTTATTACAATTTTAAAATATTTTGAACCCCTCTATAATATACATTACCGATGTCGATATTTGAGTAATTTCATATGCGGATGCAAAGAATTTACTGCAAATGATTATTGCACATGCAGATAATTTACTCCTTGCCGAAAAAGAACCTAAGATTTTAAAAGATACCAATGGTAATATTAACAAGATTAATATACTATTTTAAAAGTAACATTAGTAGATCTTATTACAAGTATTTAAATATAATTACTTAAGTTTAAAAGCGATATAAAAAACTTAAATAAATAAAAAAGCCACAAGAACGAGTTCCGAAATCTTCAACAATTTTTAAAATTTTCAAATATTATTACAATTAGTTTCAGACGAAATATTTAATTTCTGCAAAGTCGAAACAATACTGCGGAAAATAAATGTACGATGGTCACAAAGTAAGTTTGGGGCTGTGATAGCCCAATTTAGAACTTTAATTATGTGAAGTAAATATGTAAGCTTTAATAATTTAAGTGGTAATCATATCGAAGTGCCCAAAACGGGTAAAATTAGATCGACAAATCTATTTTAAACGTAGACATTACTCAATCTAGACAAATTGTTACTAGAAGGACTACTTACTACTTGATAATGACATAATAATTACATGAATTGATCATCGAGTATTTTATTTTTAGATATTTTGAAACTTTTGTTATTATTACTAATAGAGATTAGATGTGGTAATGTCAACTTTTAGAAGGAAACCCAACGGTGTGCCTATTAGCTCCCTTTAACCACTGAATTACGGAAAGGCCTTATTTTTTTAGAAGCAATTTTCCATCAAAATTTTTGCATTAAACAAACTTCAGGTATCATAATGGGAGTAATAACTAGATCCCAAATAAATTAGGTTTAATCAGTTTTCATGCAAATTAATAATAAAAATATGAAGTTATTTGTGTATTAACGAAAAAAATAGAATTTGTCATTAGTAATTTCTAAAATAATAAACTATTGAGTGTACATCGTTAAACCTTATTTATTAATTTATATAAATTTCGTAAATTATAATATTAAAATATATTTAATGAACGGAAAAGTAGAATTGTCAGTAATTTCAGATTTTTTATCACTAACAGTTCTGACGTCTGATATTTATAAAAAAAAGTATCAAAAGAGCTCCGTAAAATATTAGTTTTTTTATAAAATAAAAAAATATATTCGTCTGCCCCACAATATTACTGTATTTTCTACACCAGTTGACCTATATTATAATTGGTAATTATTCAATGAATTCAAAAAGTGTTTCAGAACGTTGAATAAGTTACATAAATTTCCCATATCAATTGTTTTATCAAACCGACTATTTTATCGCCAAACGAAAACAGATTTTTACAATTAAACATAAAAATTATAATTTATTTTCCTGATAAAATAAACAAATAAATTTATGTGATATGTTTCCATA